CCTCGTACCTCGGCACGAGTGCGTTCTTCGCGCGAGGGCTGCCAAGCATGCTTGCCGCAGGGCCACCAAGCTGGAGAGGTTCATGGCCGCCACCATATGCATCATCATCAGCTTAACAATAGCCCCGTGCCGCTCGGCCAGGACCATCCGCCACTTGGACCACCTCATGAACCATCCCAAACATTGCGGCCACCTGCCTCAATCTCCCCACAGAACTCAGGGCCTCCATCAGTGACCAGAAGGTCGGGAGCCCCAAAAGAGGCTATCCAAAGGTCTTGCAAAACCTCCCTTGCGAAGTTCGAGTCCGGCCGGTCCGTCAAGTCGCCGATGTGGTAATCCGTGAGGCCGTCGATGAAGTGGGTCACCGCAAATTTCTTTCCTTCCTTGTCCCAGACGTAGAAGGAATCGGCCATGACCCGCTCGTTGAACTGCTTGGGCTTCCGGTAGGCCACTTGACAATTGGCTTGGGGCGGCCGCACCATAGCACACACCTGGCATCTCGAGTTCTTCGCCAAGTCCACCACGCTCTTTTGTCCTCCGCTCAGGCTGAGCATGCGACTCAACCTCTCGTTGGACAAATGACCCAACGTGACACGCAGGTGGGCTACGGCCTGGCGAAGCCGTCGAGGTTGCTGCATGCCGGCTCCTTCAACAGTGACACAGTCGTACCTCTCGCCAGTGGCGCCTTGCTCTTGCGAGCCTTCCTCAAGTTCTCTTCAGGCACGCTGATGCTGCTCACCGGTGCAGCTTCCCAGGCCCAGGCCTCCGAGGAAGGAACCCCATCTCCGAGGCCCAAATCTCCACCAGGAGCGACCTGCTGAAATGCAGCCTCAGCTCCATCCAAGATGCGCTCGCACAACTGCTCGGGCAGCACTAAGGCACCACCCTTGTCCTTTCCAGGCGTCGCTTCCAAGGCCAAATGAGCGCCGGGGCCACATTGACACCAACTGCGAGCCTGCAGGGCCCGCGCCATCATCCGATCATTCACCTCCACCACCAGCTCGCGGGCCTGTCCAGGAAGGACCTTGCAACCAAACGCACACAAAGACACATAGATGCGCGTCACATTGCGGCGTTCCTTCATGAAGTCGTGGACAGCCTGGGAGTGGGCCGGTTGCACCAAAGTCACCAGTCGCCTGCCGCGATCTTGCCGTCCCCAGAGCTCCACCACCCACCGCCAAAGAGGAAGTTGTGCTCTCCGATTCTCCCAAAAGGTCGCCGCGCTCGAAGAAGTAGCAGTCCAAGGGCGGGGTGCCACCACCACCAAATCCGGTTGCTTCTTTTGCACATCCTTCAACAAGACTGGCAACCGGTTGGCCGTCACAGCCGACCAGCCTTCTCCCACATCCACCGCCCCAGCCATCTCCCAACCATCTCGTCGTTTAGCAGCAGCCGCCAATCTGCCACCCCCGATGGTCACCTCGAGGATCGTGTAATCGCCTGAGTCCTGACTCGCTGTCATGAGCACGTCCATGGCTGCACGCCGGGTGGGGAAGTCCTTTACAGTCGCTACCGCATGGAGTTCGTGGGGACGTTTGCGGGCAAAGCAGTGGTTTTTGGGTTCAGTGTGGTGGATGGAGTTTGCCCCCCCCCCTTGTTTTCGAGGTCGGCCTGCTCCCAACTGGGCATCGTGATCGACTGCGAGCATCACTCTTTGTCGTCTCGCAGGTAGGGGGTGAAGTCGTCTGGGATGGGGCGTGCCTCGTGGAACGGATGCAATGCCAGTGTGTGCGGAAGTTTTGCTCGAGCAGGAGCCCGACTCTAAGGTTGCGACCTCGGACCTTGCGCATGGCGGACACCGACGCAGCCGCGCCTCCACAATGCAAGCTGCGCAAATCGACGGAGCGCCGGACCAAGAATTGCCCCATGCTGGTGGAGGTGTCCGAGGACGAGGGCTTCGACATGGTGCAGGACCAAGGTCACTTCGGCCATGATCGAGTTGGCCAGCGAGCTGGACGGCGGAGCCCGGGTGCCCGGTGGGACAGTCGGAGCCAAACTTGGCTCGAAATGGAGAAGAGTGGCTGCTGCAGAGGGAGACGAGAGGACCACGACAGGTCACTGGACAACTAAGGGTGGCTGTGGGGTGTTCGTGGCCGAGCCGGAGGAGATGATGATGCCCGACAAGTTCGGCGACGACCGAATTGGCGCCGCCGGAGCTTATCTACCTCGAGCACGAGGCCTTCGGCACGCAGTATAAGGCGAGGCAAAAGATTGCGGAGGTCCGGAAGCTGCGGCAGTACTACCAGAAGCCGGATACCGAGGAGAAGAAGCGGTGGCTGGCGGACCAGATGAAGAAGAACCCTTGCCATGCCTGTGGGCAGTATGGACATTGGAGCAGGGAGTGTCCAGCTAAAGCACAGGCTGTTTTGGTGGCCGTGCGCCGGCCGCCTCCTCGAACCGAGCATTGTTGCGGACCACTGGGATGAGGCTGAGTGGGCTCTCCTAGCTTCGCTTTGCACCAAAGGGGCAAGCTCGGGATCCAACGGAGTTTTCGCTCGAGGGCAACACATGGAGGGTTCCGCGCCGCATGTGGTTGCAAGTGCAGAGCATTGTCAAGTGCATCACGCCTTGAGTACTGTGAGCATGTCCTTGAACGATGTCTGCTGGTCCTTGCGAAGGAGTTGGCTTTCAAGGTGATTTTGGATATCGGGTGCATGCGATCGGTGGTGGGTGTCACATGGGCTACCGAGGTTATCGGGAGATGGTGTGATGAAGATCGGTGGTGTCGGGTCGAAAAGGAGTCCACCGCAACCCCGGCCTTCAGCCGCTGCGTAGTTCCCCGGTTGGGACGTCGAGCACCTAAGCCATCAGGTGCCACACGTCCGGATGTTGAGCTTCTGTCTCATGGAGCCCTATATGCCCCCAAAGCGCGGCCACCTCCCGTCCCAGCATCCGAGCCAGCCAACGCGGATTCCGCTTCCAGCGTCTCTTTTCCTCCATCTCCACTGCCGCCTTCACCCGCAGCTGCCAGAGCATCCTCTTCCAAGCGAAGGTCAACCCCACATTTGGGACAGGCTCGGGTAATCGGCCTCCTCGGCACCCGCTCCTCCCCTTGAACTCGTCCAAGAGGTCCCCCACCTTGGTCTTGATCATGGCCCTGTCCCGCTTGGTCAAGCGAGCATGATCCAGCAGGTGCCCGACATAGAACGCCTCACCCATGGCCATATTCGGGTCCACGCCCCGTAGACCCCGGCCCTGGTCACGTAGCTCTCCATGGATTCTCCCGGTGCTCGGGAGAGCTGCATGAGCCGCCTCCTGTGCTCATCCACACGGTGGCGGTCCACCTGCTTATCAAAGGCGACTTCTCCAGCTCGCGGAAGATAACCTCCTTCCCGTCAAGGCCATGGACATCCGCGATTTGCAAATGTTTGACAAGCTGAGCCGCCCTGTCCTTCAACTGCACCATCATCCTCGGACCAATCAACTCAACAGGCAGCTGATTTCCTTCTCCACCTACCCAAAACTCCACACTCCGTCGCCATTCCTGGTAGCTTTCCTGCGGCCGGGCGCGAAACACCGGAGGATAAGTGTTCGAAATGCGCCCCGGCCCCTTGCGTTCGGCTCCAGCTCCGGAGCCAGCCACCTTAACCACACCCTTTTCCTCCTCCTCTTCCGGAGCGGTCACATAGTCCCTGATCGTCTCGTCGAGCTCCGTCTGGCCAAGCCTGCTTGATGGCGCGCAGCCACGCTCAGACTTCCAGCTCCAATGTTCATTGCCGCCCCGTCGGCCGCCACGCCGGCTGCCCAAGCCATGGCTCGCCCCGAAAGTCTCCTAACCCCCGCTCCACGAACCATCCTCTGCCCAGCCATCCCAGCGGGCGCTCTTCGGCTACTTAGCTTCTCCTCGCTCTCACATCCAGGCGAAAACTCGGATCCCGCCTGGTCCCCGCTGGACACACCGCCGGTGCCACTCTCTTGCCACCGGCGCCACCGATTAGTAGCCGGCGGCGTCGACTGCCCCATTGAGTCCTCGCCGGTCGCCTCCCAAAACTTATCATAGTACGACCTCGACATCGTACTCGGTTGCGCGCTCTGGAGCTGCTCAAGCCGCTCCACACTCCGTCCCTGCCTTCACACACACGAGCCCACAACAGGCTCCCAGGTAGCTCGCCTCAGCAGAGGCTTCCTTGAACTGCAAAAGTTCGCCCCTCGCACAGGGCACCGTCTCTGACAAGACCAGTGGCTCCACAAACCTCAGCAAAGAGGCTCCAAGCACAAAAGGGTCGCCACACGCGGCCCCCCCCCAAAGGTCCCACTGATCAATGCCCTCCAGGCTCCGCTGCCAGAAAATTATGGCAGCGACGGAAATCCTGATCCTACCGGCCGGGCCACTTGTTTTCGCACCAGAGCACGCAAGCCGTAACGGCTACGGCGATCTGAAGTTGAAAGCTCGCACCGACCGCATGAGGCGTGTTTTGACACCTATAGCCCATGCTTGATTCGAATGGGGGATTGAATCGCTTAAATCGCCGGGACTTGGGAGCTTGAATCCTGCCTGGCGCTTGATCTGCCGTGGATCTTGCACCATTGGTGCTTGAATCGCGAGTGCTCGAATTTAGCGGCTGTGTGGCAGTGCTCGAATCTTGGCCGGTGTTCGAATTGCGCTTCTACGAAGTTGCTATGCTAGGATGCGCAAACGGAAAACGAATAAGTAGTTGGACTGCAGATGACCACAGCAAGATTCAACTAAGTTGGCTCCGCATCCCATGTTTGGGTGTCCCACTGCCGGGCACGAGTCAGTGTAGAAACCTACCACATCAGCCGGGCACATCACCATCTGTTTACTTCACTGTAGCCTTGAGACATTTACCCCTCCCCCAACTCTCTCACCTTGGGCACTATAGTGCTGAATTCAATTGACTGCATACCGGGGCCACCACCGAGATCTTCTCAAAATCCCAGGACAAACATCTCTGTAAGTGAACCAACCTCATTCGGCTGGCAGCAGGCCTTGTCGTTGCAAATTACCGATGAAACCGTCGGTGGTCGTGGCTTTCAAACTACGATTGTAGAGATCGGTCCCATGGTCAACGATCGCTCAAGATGAAAGCGCAGTGACGCCACCATCTCCAGTCCATGGTCACAGACGTTGTTCACTTCCTTGGCTCTAGGTTCTCAGGGCAAACAACTTGTGGACTTGAGTCGAGTTGCAAACAAGCTGATGTGCCCGAAGGCGCCGCTGCGAATCTTTTGCGCCATGAGGGCATTCAGCTGGCTCTGCTCCTCGTCCTGCACGCAGGGCTGCATTTGCATCACCAGACCATCACCAATGCATGCAGAGAAAAGAACGGCTGCCAAGATTGGCAGGATCAGTTTTGTGTGACACGGTCCTTGAGGAGAGAGTTAAAATGCGCCACGCCAATCCTGAGAGCAACACGGACGCCGGAGACAAGATGCCAAGACTTTTGCTCACCTGCCGTGCTTGCAGTATCTTGCAGTCTGCGGCTCGCCACGGACTGCGGGGTTTCCTGCCACAATGCTTGCAGTTCTGTGAAGCTGTCGGCTGGCAGGGGCTTGGATGCCACCCCCGTTAGGTAGCCCAACAAGCGCTGGACGGCAAAGTCATGCCCCGAAGCACCGACCCAGCACTGGTAATAACCAACAGCAGACGTGGGAGCAGCTGCCGCATGTCGCTGTTGCAATTGATGTCCGCAGAGGAGCAGCTCGTCCAACGACGCGTTGTGAAGCTCCCGGCAGTGCGGCAGGTTTCCTGCAAGATCAGCTATGTCGGATGCATCGAAGGACTGGTCAAAACCGGAGCATGCCAGACTTTCATTGTAATGCTGCTGAACACAGTCGTTCACAACGAGGACATGACCACCGTGCGGCAAACTCGCCATGGATGCTGCTGCACTGAGAGTGAGGTTCAACTGGCTGCAGTTTGCCATTGTCGCCAGTCCATATTTCGCGAGAAGCTCTGCGACTTTAGTGCTACAGCTCGCTCCCGTACAGTCCCAATTGTAAATCAACACAAAATCCTCTAAAGCCGGATGTTGCTGCGCCCACTGCACGATCTCCGCTACGGCAGTCTCGGCATCCTGCATTATCTCAACATCACCGTGATGAAACACCACTTTGCCCTCGTCGGTGACATGTGGCCGCATGTCAAAGGCACGTGCTCCACAATTCAGCTGCTCGGTAAAAGCATGTTTGGACGCAGGCTGCGTCTGACCCCAGGTGACTCTGGGATCTAGCGGATTTTGCATGTATCCGGTTGCAGCATCATGCGTCGTCAACATGGGCCAACTGGTTAGCCGCACATCTGCATAGGGGGACCTGACAGAGTTTCCTGGTTCAACTGCCAGGGTGCCGGTGCTCTGAGAAGCAAAGACTGGAAGGAAGCCACAGATGACCTTCATGGAGCAGCGGCCAGCTGAAGCGCAACAAACCGTTGAGCCAACATGCTTTGGAGAGGCCTCAGGCTTCTTTGGGATCATGTCAATGTGGGAAGCTTAGCATGAGACCCCGCAAAGTCGAGTCTGCTCAAAAAGCTGTGCCAAGCTGCAGTGCTGTTAGCGGCAGCTGTGTATGGCAATTGCGCACAAGTGCTGATAAGCGAATGTGACTGGTGCAGTGCTCCTTGTATGCAGTGTTGCGAGCAGGTTCGTAAATAAAACCCAAGCCCACGTAAGCCTACCCTGACCGACGATTGGCAAAGCTCTTTCCTCAACGCAAGGCACAATAACCCCTCTGACTCTGAAGCATTTGTTAACCCTCTTACAAAATCGGTCGATGCTTCTGCAACGAGTCGGAAAAGAATCCTGCGGTCAACGTGAAACAGTCTCAGGCAATGCTGCCATCTTCAGTTGTGCAGATGTACGCTGCGGCTATGTTGCCGAATGATGGCGG